GGGCATGCGCAGGAACCCCACCGCGCATGCCCAGAGGGGTGGGCGCGGACATCCCGCCAGTTCCTTTCTTACCACCGCATTGGAAAGACCTCTTTCTTCGTCGGTCTGATCGGTTCGCTGTTCGCTTTTGTCTCACAGCTCTTAGGAAGTATTTCCATACTTTATTTTTCTTTTTTAGTTGTTTGTTCTTCAAAAACTAAAAAAAAAAAACTTTATTCTCTTCTGAGGGGAATTTACCTCAGGCCTTCAGGCTCCCCCCCCTCAACCGTTCCCGCCACTTCACTTCTTTATGGAGAAGAAGTGGGAATTTTTCAATAGATGCAAGCGTTGTGGTAGCAAACTTGCTCCTCCCGACCACCATACCCTCTGCATTTTTTGCCTTGGAGAGTCTCACAAGCCAGAGTCCTGTCGTCACTGTGCTCACTTCTCCAACCAAATGAGGAAGAACCGCGCTGCGCGCCTTAAAGTGGCACTGCTTGAATCGGCCCTTGCTCCTGCCTCAGTTATGGAGGAAAGACCATCTACATCGACAGCTCCGGCATCGAGACCTGCCTCCGATGTCGACCGCCCGACACCAAAGCTCCCGACATAGAAGGCAAGATTGTCCGCCTCAACGCCAATCAAAAAGAAGGCTAAGGCAAATACAGAGCTTAGGTCCGCAAAAAGGCACCTCCAAGTCCCTTAAGGCAGCGATGAAGGGGAAGGAAGCGGTGCCTGCACTGGGTGATGCCCCTGTAGTGCCTCCCGCTCCGACGGCAGTATCGATATTGGAGGCCCAAGTCCCTCCCCCAATACCGACCATCCATATATTGGACTCCACCAAATAGAGCCTTCTTACTCCGACATCGAAACGGTAGAGCTCCTAAGTCATCAGAGCATTCTCTGTCTCCTCCGTCGTCGACGGTATCGGAAGCTCCCAACATCGATCCACGTTGGCACCGATATACCTAATGTGACACGCAGCATCACCCTCCTCGTCTGCACACTCAATCTGTCGATATCGACGACCGACATTACAGGGACGATGCCCGCAGACAAGCTAATGCTTTGTCTCCCAGACGTCCACGGTGCAGAAGTCGCTCCCCCAGAGTCTTCCTACCCCCCCCTCCAATGTCATGGGATCAAAGACAGTTGAGATACCTCTATGGGGCTTATCCACCATCCATGCCGTGGTTAACTCCAGCGGGCTATTCTGATTGGGATCGCTATTCGACCCCCTCCGTCCATAGGTCGAGATCCCCCCACAAGTCGAGACCTTCAGCATCTCTGTTGCGTCCTCCTGTAGTCGATCTGTCCCACCATACTCTGGAACCAAGTTGACCTGTCAATCCTCCGGTCACTCCAAACCCTGTTGTCCAAACGAAACCAGTACCTTCTCAAGAGGACACTTTGGTCCACACACCACAACAAGACTCCTCTGACTTCATGGAAGAGGACTCAGATACAGAGGCTTCTGAGGCTCATACCTCTCCTGACCATACATCTCCCAACCAGGATGTCGCGGAGGACTTACCTGTATCTCCATCTGACAACCTTACCTCTTACACTGATCTGGTCAAAAGAAAGTCGTCCAGCAACACCCGCAGGCAACAGATGCTGTTTACGATATAGTTCAGCTCGATACCTCGTCCACCTTGGCATTGCCCATGTCCTCAGTCCTTCTGCAGACAGTAAAGTCACCATGGCTAAAACCTTCGTCTGCTCCTGTGTCCACAAGACGATTGGACCACATGTACAAAATCCAAGAATCAGATGCCGAATTTCTCTTCTCCTCAGCCAAACTCTATGGTGATAACATCTTCCTCCAAATCTAAGAGAACGCATTCAGCACCTTCTGACAAAGAAGGTAAGAAGTTAGATGCTTTCGGCAGGCACTTCTACTCCACAGGAGCGTTGGGAGTCAAGGCCACCAACTACCTGGCCTGTATGAACTGGTATCAGTACACTCTCTTGAAACGGTTCTCGGAACTTCTGACCCACCTCCCAGACTACAAACTTCGGGCAGCCAGAGTCATCCAAAAAGAGGGCATGGTGTTGGCAAAACAACAGCTCAACACTAAAGATCTTGTATACATATGTTCAACACTACCAAACATGTCCTCAAAGCATCTTCACGAACGATGGCTTCTGCAGTAGCTCTCAGAAGACATTCCTGGCTCCACAACACTAACCACCCGTTAGATACTAGGTCTTATGTGGAAGACCTCCCTTTCAACGGCCTGGGACTTTTCAATGCTACCACTGACTATTCTACAAGAGTTAGATAAAAGCTTATTATTTTCTCTGGAAAACATTGTCAGTTCCTCTTTCATTTTATTTGTAAATGTCTCATTTCTCAAAGTCCTTAAATTCAACTTCCATCTACTTCTTTTGCCTTCAGTTTGTAATTCCATATATACTGGCCTGTGGTCTGCATATGTCCCAGCTTGTATTTCCGCTTCTATTAAGTCTTTAGCCAAAACTGTTGAGATCCATATCATGTCTATTCGAGACCATGAATCATGTCTTGCTGAATAATATGTATATTGCCTTGAATTGTAATTTCTTATTCTCCATGCATCTACCAAGTTCAGTTCCAACAGCATTTGTTCTAAACTTTTTGGCATTTCTGTTTTTCTTCCTTTCCCTTTACTTCCTTTCTGTTTATCTTTTTCCTCTTCAGCAATTGTGTTAAAGTCTCTTATTAAACACAAATTTTGATAATCCTGGTCAATTATTCTCTCATGAAGCTCCTTATAAATTTTTTCTTGATCTTGATTTGGTGCATATATATTTATTACTAATATCTTCTTGTTCTGGTTTTGAATTTCCACCATTAAAATTCTTCCATCTTCTGAATAGTATACTTTTTCTGGAAGGAGTTTCTCTTTAACAATTATCGCCACCCCTCTTTTTCATTTTTATCTGAGGCTAAAAAAAATGTTCCCAATTTCTTATTTTGCATTACTCTCTCATCTTTTTCTCGAATATGTGTTTCTTGTAGCCTAATTATATCCAAGTTTTGCTTCCCCAATTGATGATATATTCTCTTTTTTGTGGTCCATTTAATCCATTGATGTTCACCGATAGAATCTTGAGCTTCCTTTTATCCATTGATCTTCTCCTTCTGTTGATATTCTCTTTGCCTGTACCAAAGCCGTGTACCAATTGGGGAATGTCGATGTGGACTTCTAATCCTCTTCTCCTTGGGTCTTACCGAGGCTTCTGCCCCTTCAGCCGGTTTCTCCCCCTCTTTTTTCTCTTTTTCTTCTCTTCCTCTCTCTGTTCTTTTTCCTCTTCCAGTCCCAGTTCTTCTCCATATTTTTTAAGGAAGTCTTCCACTTTAAAGATTGATGTAATCCAATACTTTTTCTCTTGCATGAAAAAAGCCAGACCTTCTGGGAGGAGCCATCTGTATTGTATCCCATTTTCCCTTAATAACCATGCCAATTTGGAATAATTCCTTCTCTCTCTCCACGGGATCTCCTTTAACACTTTTACTTCTATCTCTTGAATTTTGAGTGCTTTCGCGTTGACTTCTCTCAATATTTTATCCCTTGCCATTCTTTTGTGGAAACAAACTTGTATCTCTCTTTGTACCTTCATTCGTCTTGCATATGCCGAGTTCATTCTGGAATCAGGTAACTTCAGTTTTGGACCTAAAGGGGAAAAGGCATATCTTCAGGATAATTCAGAAAAAATGCTTTCTCTGCTATCATAAGTTTGGCTAGATTCTGGTCATGTGATACAAACTGGGTCTTCGTGATCAACATCTGTCTGAGAAAGGGAAGGGCAATGTCAGTTGGAAGGCTTCTTTGTGGTTAGGTACCACTTAGATTACCAACTGGTAGCTGGTATAGAGTGAGACCTGTTGCCATAGAGAAGATCCCTTAATTAATACTCAGGGAGGCCCTGATCTCAGAGAAAACATTCTTTCTCTGGGAATGGAACTATAAATGTCTGAGAGGAGATAATCTTCCTTTTTGTAGACAAAGAGGCAAAATGAGGGTGACCATTTGCCTTACCTGGCAAGAAGGGGCAAGATAAATGGCTATTGAGATATAGGGGGTGGATTCATAAAATTTTTTGGATGTGCACTTTAATTTGATCAGTGAAAGGCGGTGCACAGCAGTACACATGGGATTCACTCCCATTTTCATGTTAGGTTAACGTTTAAGCCTCCTAACTGGAACAGGAGGGGTTACAAGGTCTGACCATCCCATCAGAAGCACACAAGCAAAGCTCCAGGAAACGAAGCAAAAGCAGTGAAGTCTGCGTTTGCCAGCCTCTGTTTCCTGTGGTTTTGCATCCATTCCAAGGGTAACACCAGCGACTGTACAACTTGGTTCACTTCATATTTTATTTACTTGTCTTAGTTCTGTAATACCTTTTAGGATTTTGATATACAATAGAATCTCTACTCAGGGGGCCCGACTGCACATTGCATGAATACACCAGAAGCTCTGGAATGGGCTGCATATAGCTGGCCAGGAGGAAGTGTGTGTGTTAGTGCATCCCTCCCCAAAAAGAGAAAGCTCACAGTTCTATCTGTGCCTCAGGCTATGGGTAGAAAAAGAAAGGGCACTGCTTGAGTGGGGACATGCTACCTCATCCATCAGGGAGGGAGGGGCATGTGGGGCAAATTCTCTCACAGACACAGAGTCCCTCCCTCCGCCTCTTGGGCAAAGACAGCAAGAAGGAAGAAAAATGGAGCAGCTCTTTTACAGGGTTTATCTTCTTGCATGCTTCTCCAGTGCCACACTGTTGTCTGCTCTCTGGCTTAGTAGAGGGAAAGGTACCAGGGTTGGGGGGAGGCTGTAGAATGAACTAATGGGTACAAATACCTTGGACTTCAAGACTGTCTTGACAAATAGGCTGGCCACTCATCAGGTACAGGATTGTCAAAATGTGGTTTGTTTCCAGAACTGGTCAACTGTTATGAGTTGACATCATTTGTTTTTCAGACACAGCAGTATAATAGAATAGATCCTATTTTAATGTCTATGTTTTTTCTTTTACAGGAATCAATGTATTACTGACTTCTTCCAGCCCGCTCCAAAACAAGGTAAACAAGTATTGTAGGTTTCTTCTACAACACTGATATTAGGGCCTCATTATATGTGATATTTTTTCCTACAGTAATAGTGGTGTATGTAGGCACAGGAAAAACATATATACCCATGTGCACCTATGTGTGTGCAAATTGTGCAGATGGCTTTTTGCTTTGTAACATGTACCATGTATGGAAGCAAATTCCCATATCTAAGGTGCAATTATGAATATGTGTCACATGAAGCACTGTGTATCATCTGGTAGGTTCTCCACCTTGTATGTGAGCCACTGGGCTTCTAAGCAGTGGGTATTTATAGATAAGTATCAAGTTCAAATCAGGAAATAGAACCAATGCGTGGTCCTTATGTAAAAAAATGACCGCACACGAAAAAACAACTCTACAGGCATTTTAATCACCGTTACATTTTAACTGAGTAGTTATATAAAAGGAGTAAAAATTGATGAAAAAGAAAGTTGGGCATGAGTCACTAACACTTTATGAATTCTATTGCTCCGCTTAAGGCAAAATTCAAGGTATAATTTATTTTATTAAAATATTTATATGTTGCGTTTCCCTTGCGGCTCAAGGCAGCTTACAGTTCCAGACCCTGTACATAATGCAACAACCCCGTTAATCCACTTCTGAAGAACCTTGCGACTCAAACCCCAGTAAAAGCCTTAGGAAATCAAACAGCCCTACATCATCTTCTAGAGCAGCTCCCTTCATCAGACATGAGAAAGCTTATGTCTGACAAAGGGAGTGTCAAGGGACCCCTCCTCCCCCGTACCACAATCAGATCCAAATTCCTTCTTCCTCCAAGGATTATTTGCACCTTAAAATAACTGGGGAAATCAGTTCATAGATTTTAATGTTTGCTTATGGCCTCTGAAGTGAGATCTGAATCATTAAGTAAATAAATGTATGACAAAACACATTTCAGAACTTCTCACAAATAATAATATAGCTGGTTGGGATCCAGGGATCAGTGTTTTTCTAATTGTGTGCATCATTAACTTTTCACTTTGTTTCTGTTACTTCTGTTAATAAAGACCGGACTGTGTTATGTAGTCCAGAAAAAAGAAATGGGAAGGTTGGGTTTCCAGTCCCACATGCAGATCATCCTAGAAGCAATGTATCTTCTCCAAAGCGAAATAGAAGAAAGAAATTTCTACCGCCACCTGATAGAAGCCCCATAATTGATGCATTTTTCAAAGGTGCCAAGATAGAGAAAAAAGACAGTTCAAATAATGATGGAGGTTCTATAACCAGGGAAGCCACATATCCAAAAGTTGTGGTGCGGAAACTCTTTACCTCAGAAGGATCTCTGGACTGTTCCTCCAAAGATGATACTTGTATGAGGGATGTGGAAAAGAGCGAAAAATGTCCTGTTCAAACAAGAACACCATTAGTAGAGAACAGTAGAGAATGTAACATGGAATATATGGATCTAGACACAGTCAGTTCTGGCTTGAACAAAAGGGCTTCAGCATCAGAAAATGACAGCCTGAGAAAGGAAAGCCATATATCTTGGTGCCAAAAAACAGGTTGCTCCAAGATGCTACAGTCCAGTACAGCCAATGCTTCACATCAGTCATCAACAGAAACGCTTGGCAGTGATAAACAAGTAAAGAAAGAAAAAAAGATGTTGTTTATGCAGCAGTCTTCTGGTTCTGTAAAGAAGTCCTTGGCAACTAATATTTCTCAGCAGGTAGGTTTAAAGGGGCAGTGAAGACCAAAGGAGTGAACTGTGACTTCTCATAGCAGGCAGTGTTGTAAATATAAATATAACTTACTACTTTATGTAAAAAAATGAAGCAACTTTTCTAGTATCCTGAAGCATTTGAGTAATGGAAGGTGCCTCAATCTAAGATTTCAACAGGTAGATGATGGGCTTGGATGTGGTCTCATATTTACTACTTGGCATTTTTTCTACATTCCAATTTCATTCTGATTCTCATACTTTCCAGAGAGTGGTCTGAGGGCCAGAAGTGTGTATTGCTGCAGAGATTTCCTGCAATAAAGACTTCACATGTTTGGAGCCCAGCTGAATCAGACCAAAGGTTCAGCTAGCATCCTGTTTCCTGTAATGGCTAATCATATGCTTCAAGGAGATCTACAGGCAGGACATGAAAGCAACATCCTCTTCTATTACCCCACTGCAAATGGGAGGGGGGTACACAGCTGCCAGCCCTGCAGTTTCCATTCAGTGTGTAGCTAACAAATTTTTGATAGACTGAGATTTTTTTAAACCTCCTGTTAAAACCATAAAAGCCAGTAGGCATGTATTCACATATAGCTGAGATGCTGTGTAGCTGTTGTCACTCTCATGGAGTGACTTAGCACACCCGAGTGCTAATCAGTCCCATGCCTTTCCTTTCCTTTCCAGAAATGGTGGGTTCTAGGTATCTATAGAGGATGAGGGGTTTCTTATGTTTATGCATGCCTTTTTATCAAATACAAATGGTTTTCTGACCATCTGTTTATTTATTTTTATTTATTTATTGGATTTTTTACCCCACCCTCCCAGCCAAGGCTGGCTCAGGGCAGCTTATATAAAATCAGTACATAATTTACAATAAAACATGAATCAAATTAGATTAAAACAATTCTAAAATCATTAAACTATACAACTCAATAAAGTACTAGTAGCATTGATTCCCGATGGCTGTGATTACTCAGTCCACTGTTCTTATAGTTGGTTCCTCGATCTTGTTTTAATTGTCCTTCCGGTGGCTGTCTTGAGCTGTTATTAAGAGTTCCGGGGAAACAAAGGGCTCTCTCACCTTCAGCTTTCAGTTGTTAGTTGTAAACGGTGGTGGTTAATGTTGGTGGCAGCTCCAAAAGCCTGGCGGAAGGGAACTGCATGAGGTCTCGCAGGGCCCTGATCTCCTCCAGGAGCTCGTAACACCAGAGTGGAGCTGCCACCGAGAAAGCTCTGGCCCTGGTTGTTGCCAACCTGGCCTCCCTAAGACTTGGGAAGGCCAGTTGGTTCTGGGCCCCTGATCGCAGTGCTGTCTGGGGAACATGTGGGGAAAGGTGGTCCCTCAGGTATGCAGGTCCCTGGCCATGAAGGGCTTTAAAGGTAAGAACCAGCATCTTGAAATGGATCTGGTATGCTGTCAGCAGCCAGTGCAGTGCCTTTAGCACAGGCTGGATGTGTTCCCAGATAGGGAGTCCCATCAAAAGCCTGGCCGCGGCATTTTGCACCAGTTGCCGCTTCCGGATTTGAGACAAGGGCAGACCCATGTAGAGAGCATTACAGTAGTCCAGTCTCGAGGTGACCATCGCATGGATCACTGCTGCCAAGTCGTTGCATTTGAGGAAGGGAACCAACTGCCTGATCAGCCGGAGATGATAAAAGGCTGATTTGGCAGTGGCTGCTACCTGGGCCTCCATTGTTAAGGAGACATCTAGGTGCACTCACAGACTCCTAACCTCCAGTGCTGGCACCAAAGGAGCCCCATCGAAGGTCGGGAGCGGTCAGACACAGGACCTCCGTCTTCGTCAGATTCATCTTAGCTGGCTCAGTCTAAGCCAACCAGCCACGGCTTATAACGCCTGGTCCAGATCTTCCAGTTTGGAGTCAGACTGGCCGCCCAACAACAGATAGAGCTGAGTGTCATCTGCATACTGGTGACACCCCAGCCCATGCCTCCGGGCAATCTGGGCAAGGGGGCGCATATAGATGTTTAAAAGCATTGGGGACAACACTGCCTCTTTAGGCACACCACAGTCCAGTGGGTGCCTCTGGGATAGCTGTGCCCCTAGTGCCACGCTTTGTCCCCGACCTTGGAGGAAGGAGACAAGCCACTGCAAGGCCAGCCCCTGTATTCCAGCATCGGCGAGGCAGTGGGTCAGTACGGGTGGCTGACCATGTTGAATGCTGCCGACTGGTGTAACAACAACAGCGCTGCCATTCTGCCCTGATCCAGATGCCTCCGGAGGTTGTCCATGAGGGCGACCAGTGCCGGACTGGAAGGGGTCTAAGATGGAAGCGTCATCCAAGAAGCCCTGTAACTGAGTTGCCACTGCTCTCTCTATTATCTTGCCCAAATAGGGCAAGTTGGAAACCGGCTGATAGTTAGCCAATTCGGCCGGATTTAAAGATGGCTTTTTCAAGAGAGGGCAGACCACTGCTTCCTTAAGTTCTCCCGGGAACAGCCTCTCCAGGAGGGACTTGTTGATAATCTTCCACCTTGGAGCCCCTTGTGGCTCGCTTTAATTAGCCATGAAGGGTACGGATCCAGGGAGCAAGTGGTAGGGTGTACAATTAGGAGCAACTTGTCGACTTCCTCTAGGCTGAGTGGACTGAAGTGATACATAACTCGACTAGAAGACGCGCATGGAGCCTCAAGTTCACTCACTGTATCAACTGTGGCGGGGAGGTCACAGTGGAGCGACAGGACTTTATCTGCAAAATAGCTCGTTGAAAGCATTGTGTAACAATGTCTAGCATTTGGGCAAATCTGTGGTTGGCTAAGTATTAATCAGAAAATTTAAAAGTGTTGAAAAGGGAATCTGAAAAAAAATCCTATATTTAAGATATATTTAGGGAGAAAAAACCAGATTGTAGTAGACAAATATACCTTCAAAATTAAGCAAAACAAACACCCATTGATGTATATGCAGAAGTAAAAACCCTGTAAAACATGGATTCCTCTAATTTGACAAGCCTAAATCAGGAGACAAAACACATTTCAAGATCAGTCTTCATCACTGGCTGACTTAAAGCAAAGTAAAACTGCCTTTTGTATCTACACCAAATGCATTTGAACAGCTTTCTGAGATATTTTAAGCTTTAACATCCACAGATATTAATATAAAGTAACTGTGGATGTCTCGCTAGATCATGTGCAGCTTGTGTTCCATTAGAAGCTGGTTTACAGTAACCTAGCAATACAAAGAATAATTAAAACTTATGAACAAAAAGCTACGTCTTATCAATATATCATAATGTTTTTTAAATATTAAATTAACTGAACCATTGTATAATTAATCGAATTAGCAAAATATTAGACTCACGGAAAATGTTTTTCAGAAGACAGCTGTCCAATTTGGGTCTTGTTTCAAGCCCTTTTGTGCAAAAGTTTTTAAAGTGAAAGTGCAGAATTTTTTTTTTTCTCAGTATCTGATAAAACTGGATCCCAGATATTTGAACCTTCTCCATGGCATAAAATATTGAATTGTTGCCTGTCTGTTGCAATGCAGAAAAGCGCTTTAACAAGTGGATCTTGGATGTTAACCAGCCTCAGTGCAGCTCTTTGTCGTCACAAATCCTGGCCTTGACAGCTTGTGTAGTCATGCCTATGTATATTTTAATTTGAATGTTGTACAATTGGTCCTTTTGTGCTGCAGTTCACAAATGAGTTGGTATGTTTCCTCATAGTCACTAAACTTTCAAAAAAATGGATCCTCAGATTATGGCAAATGCTAAAGTGTCTGCAAGGAAAGTTACCCTTAGGAAGTAGATCTCTTGAAACAGTAGGTCTTTCTGGAGGGGATGCTCTAACTCTGCTATGGACAAGCATACCCCTGAAGACTTGAGAACATTTAAAAATGAATATAGGCGTAAATTTACATTTAGGGATATCTGAGAGGAAATAATGACAACAAATAATCTCCCTTGCATGTCCATAAAGGCAGTCATAAGTTAAATAATTGAATATACTCATTTCTGTTGTCTTTCTCTAAAGCATCAGCAATGATGCTGTATCCATATTTTTAGCCTTATACTTGTCTAACTGGATGAGAATGAAGAAAACTTGTAGGAGGATAAGAACCTTCCTCTCATTCTTCTAAAATACTGAAATGTATAAGGCTATAAATCTTTAGATGCTGAGAACTAAATTTCATTGTTCATCCCCAGTGCCAGTATTTGATGTAAACACAAATATGTTTGCTGTCTGATTATTTGTAGGATACCATGGACTTCTTAAGAAAAAGATCATGTTCTGCTTCATGGGAATCTTCCACAGGTACAAACAGAATAGCCAGTGCTGTAGAAGGGAATGGGGGAAATAGCTTACCTGGTTTAATGTACAGTTAAGACAGTCATATGGATCATAATGGGTTTTAACTGTAGCTAAGTGGGCTGCCCTGTGACAGTACGTGGCTGCATGAGGGCCTTTATAATTCTGGGGTTTTTTGGGGGGTGGGGTGGAGGAGTCTGAATGCCAGTTGTAGCAAAATACCTGTGATATGAACAACATTTATAAGATTATCATTGCTATTCTAAAACTTTACAAAATTGCAACAATATGTCAATTATTCTCACTTATACAATATTGCAAAAAAAAGTACAATTAGTCCAACATAATGAGTACCCGGTTGTGAACTCATTTCAACTTTAAAGTTTTCCTCAGACGTAATCCAATATTTAAAGGAGGTGTCAGTTTCTTAAATCCAGCTCAGCATTGTAAATTCTTAATTTCTTAATTTCCTTCATAATGTCTTCTGGTTCCATAAAAGTGTTTATTTCTGGAGCAAGCCAATCCTTTGTAGGTACAAGAAAGCCTCCTGGATTTTACTGGCCATGCTCTTCACAAACACTAATTTATTTAGGTAGTAGCAATCTAGCTCTTATTATATTTTATCCGGCTGGAGCCTTCATTATTCTAGCTGGCAAATGCTCTATACTATTTCACCCGGCTAAAGCCTTCATTTTCTAGCTGAGCTGGATTTAAGAAGCTGACACCTCCTTTAAATATTGGATTATGTCTGAGGAAGACTTTAAAGTTGAAATGAGTTCACAACCGGGTACTCATTATGTTGGACTATGTGTACTTTTTTTGCAAAATTGTATAAGTGAGAATAATGCATTTTGTTGCACTTTTGTAAAGTTTTAGAATAGCGATGTTAATCTTATAAATGTTGTTCATATCACAGGGTTTGCTTGTGGTTTTTTCCTATGGATATCTGTGATCCCTTTTGTTTTGTTTTGTGTAGCAAAGTACCTGGCATTTCATAGAGAAATTTCCTGGTGAGGTGGTCAGGATGTTGCCTCCTTCTCTCCTGGGAGATGGTGTTCTAAACCCCCTTTCCCTGACATCTGGGAAGATTCTCGTGCGTCCCAGAGAAGGGACACTGCAGAAGTCTTCTGGGCTGTCAGGGATTCAGAACTGCCTCCCAGCTGAAAGAGGTGGCAGTTCTGAACTGCCCCCCTCCCAATGTCTAGCAAATGTGCTTTGACTGCACTGACAACCACCATCTTCGAAAAGGAAATCAGAATGTCCATGGAGCCAAGGCATTGCAGTTGCCATAGCAAAGATTTCTCCTTGAAATCAGCATCTCTCCACAGAGGCAAGGCATTCTGTTCAGCATAGCAGCTTTGTCACCTGGCCCCATTGGATGTCTCATTGAGTAAGGTTATGGAGGCCAGGGCCATGAGCTGTGGGCCATACCTCACAGGTAATGTTGTTCAGTAGAGTAAATATTACACCTGAGGTGCACCTTAGTGAACATTCAGTTTCCACTGCAGTTGTGGTCCTGAACTTATTAATTATTGTTAAAAGCGGACAGTGGCATGTAACGATAAATGAAATTTTAAAATGTTTGGGGGCTTGTATAGACAGAACAGAACAGAAAACCTTTATTGGCATAACATAGATAAACCAGAACAAAGGAAACATTTAAGGGGTAGTACTAAAACAACGTCAACCAATATTCCCAATATCTCAAAATACAAAGCAATCCTAACATGGTTCTGTATAGATGGCTTTAGCTCTATTTACAATGTTTCAGTTTCTGAGTCTGAAATCCATCAATGGGAGAGTGCTTCAGCCAGGTCTACCACCCTTTTCCTCTGGCTAGTATGTGCTTTTTCCTGGACTCTTCTGGTGTGTTCAGTTCTGTACTACAGTGCCCAGTTGGGAGCATGGGAAACATATCATCTGGATGTGCCTTTATTGTTGGGAGTCAAGTCATCAATTTATTGTGGTGACTGGCCTGATCTGAGATAACCATATAGTAAATTCCACCTTGGAGACTCTTTGAAAGCAGTTTTACTATGTTCTCATGTCATTTAGTTTTTAAAAAAATTCAAATGTCTTTAGAGAGAAATAATTTAAAATGCAATACATTATTGGTATATTTTTTCATAGCTACTTATTGCATAAATCTATAAGAAGGTAATGCTTTTCTTTACTGATTTCCCTGTAATCTAAAAATTTTCCATGTTCTTAATCTTTTAGGTCAGGGAAGACACTACTTTCCTTATAATATTCCTACCTGGGCAACAACAAAAAGCTATGGAGACTATATTCGGTTTCCTGCTGTACAGCCAAACGCTTCTTGACACTATTTTAGGAGACCTGCAATCTGATAGACCTAGAGATTAATCCCAATTTTTAATTTTTAAATTTATTAACCACTCTTCTAAACAGTTCCAAAGCAGCTTATTATGAATGTCAAAATACAAAACAGCATAACAAATGATAAAATGAATTGGCAATGAACTGCAGTAAGTCAACCAATATTGAAGTTATTAATAGGGATGGGCACGAACTAAACCACGAAACAATATTCATCATGAATTTTGTCCTGTTCACAAACTGAAGTTCATGACATCACGTACTTCCACAAACTTTAAAGCAGTTCATGGTGGTTCATGGATGGACCACAAAGCAGGGCTTTAAAAGGACTCTGAGTCCCTTAAAACCCCTGCTTTCTGTTCCCTGTGAAGGCTGCAAGAATAGCTGAGCGGTGGGGAGGCACTCCCCGCCACTCAGTTGTTATAGGCTGTCTTGTGCAGTCCCTTTAAAGTTTGAAATTAAGATTTATGAGAGAGACTCTCCTCTTTCTGTGTCTGATACCTTTCCATCAACTTCATGCAATCGTTTCCCGAAAGTGGAAGCAGAAAAGACCTGGAAGGATACTTCTAACAATGTTTTGTCATCAATAGATTGCAGTCATGTCACATGTGACTTAAACGAACTGAGTGATGAAGATTCAAATCTAGAGATATGTATGTCGAATAAAAAATTACGGAGCCTTTCTGATAGTGAAGATGGGAATCCTGACTGCAGTCTGGACAGCAGTGATGATGAGATACTATTGCCATTTGAGGAAATACTGGCTCAGAGTGCCAAACCTACAAAAACCCCTGAACCCACAAGTGATGAGGATGGTACTCAAGATAGCGTGATTTCATCACATGATAGTCTTGTAAGTATCTGTACTCCTTTTATTTGAGAAAGTTATTGTTGGTGTCAAATGTGAATGTCTTGTGAAGACCAGTGTGGTATAGCACGGCTGGAAAATATCCTGGCTGCAGAAGATTTGTAGCCGATCATAGCACTTTCCTTTGCAAAGGACAGGAGTTCCAAAAGCTTCGCCAGATTCCTGGATGGAGTCTGGTTCAGCTGCATGTGTAAGCACAATCATTGCTTCATTTTGCTTTGCTGTTGCAGTTGCCAAAGAACACACTGATCCAAGGAGAAGCTTTCTAGCTTTGACAGCTGCAGGGGTTCTGACATGCACAGCTGAGCAGGATCCTGGAAGGAACAGAGTAGTGGTGCTGGGAATAAGTATTTCTTTGCCAAAGAAATATTGCAGCATATACGGGAAGTCTTTCATCACTTTTCTGAGAGCCAGGGCACAGACTGTCTGCCACCACTTGTGAAGTGACTGTACTCTGGCTGTAGCTGCAAAGGGTGAGGTATCTGCTCTAATCCATGCAGCCAGGCTAGGTTTCCTACTGTGTTCCTGATATATAGAAATTCTTGTTCTTAATATTTTTTCTCAGCTCTATTTAGTAAAAACCATAGAAATAAGTATATACCATTGTGGATTTGAGTGTAGAGAAAGCTCTTTGTTTTTCAGGGTGTGGCTCTGCTTAGTATTTTCCTGACAAAAGAGCAGTCCAAAATGCATGGCATCCTGTCTGAGATGCAAATCACACTTTTAGACATAATAGCCACTTCTGCATACATGCTCAAATTGCGTTACTGAAAATGCATGAAAAGTTACGAGTAAAGTATGTTGAAGTCTAGTTAATGACTTTACTGGGAAGCAGGCTTTTATTTTAGACAGTATTCTTTTGCAATCCTGGATATTGTACTTTTTACGTCTAACTTTCTATTACTGTATTACATTTAAACTTCTAGCAAGTTGATAGATACTTGTTAGGATTACATTTCCTGTGCAGTCCCACAGCTGCTTTCCTGGGAGCTGAGTAGGATTCTGAGTACACCTGCTGAGGATTTCTCTCTGCCATCTAGTGCTTCTCACATAATCAGTATTCTAAAATTGTTGAGGCTTTAAGTACTGATATGAGCTTGTGGAGGAAGTGGTTTGGGGATAATAGAAGATATCTGAATTTCTATTTATCAGTAACTGCATAGCTGGATAACCACTAGTAATTACACACATTAATGCCTTTTCATTTTTTTCCTGCTTCTGTGTCATTTGTAAAACTGATACATTTTTAATGATTTTCTTAAGATTTAAATAGAAGAGATGGACATTTTATGCCTGATGATCTGTCTGGGCAATAAAGCTGTGCTGAAGGAGGGCTCACCACTGGTAGTTTAAACAAACTACTTTTTCCTGTTTGTATCATTGGGATTTACTTTGCAATTCAGCATCAACTCAAGCTCTAGTTCCAGGATTAATTTTAGATACTTAAGATGTTTAAATATTCAAAGCCCCAAATAACTGGTCTTTCCTTCTCAGGATTGCATGTGTCATTGTGTGTGCTTTGTAACTTGAGCATCAGAAAGTTGTACACTGTCCCTGTGAAGATAGCACCCGTTTTTTTTTACAAAGACTGTACATGTAGCAAAATAGAAACATGAGGTCCTCACAAATAAAGGTATACAAATTTGTGAAGAAAAATATGTATGAAGCAGCCCTAATTTATCAGTCAGTATTTCCTAGTTGAATCTATTGGTAGTGCAAATTTTAGTTAATGTCTTTGTGCAATACAACACTTACTAAGGAAACATATTCCTGTAGTTAGTCTGAATAATGTTCTTGCAACTGGTAGCGTACATTCCATGAGAGAAGTCAGGGCCCAGGAACAAATGAGATGTCTTTCCAACAAGATGAATGGACTTTCCTCTCCAAATCTTTCTTTTATAGCATGTGAGAGTTATGTCTCAGAAGCTGCTCTTATTTTCATTTGTTTCCATAGTTTTAAGCTTTTCTTTAAGATATCTGAATGGAGACATCAGATTTCTAATAAAGCAATAGTTAATAGAATAATTTTCAATGAGCACCTTTTTCTTCAGCTTTCCAAACCTTCCATTGAGACTCAGGTCTCGTATGTCAATCGACTGGAACATCTTCTGAAGGAGAAGGAGGAATTCAGAAGGTGCGTGTGCCTGCATGCCTTGTTTTCCACCACCATCAATGCAGGGTGAATGCTTTGTCCTTAAATGTAATTGTGAGGGCAGATATGACAGCACGTTTAATGGTTCCTGTCATTAATATGTCTACCTGTCCATTGGGAAGTAGATTGTGTATTGTTTCATACTTGCCGTGAGAAAACATTAAATAAAATTAGCAGCATTTACTCTTCAGATAAGTGTTAATACTGCTGAGGATTCTCAGGTTAAGTGTCTTTCTATCTATAAAGATTCCTTATCTAGAACTTGGGGTGAAGTCTTATTTTACTCATTTTAAAATATAACATTTCCTGTGTTACAGGAATTAAACTATTAAAGCTCTTAATTTTTTTCTAGAAGTCTGCCTAATGTCTTGTGTTTCCTAAGGGTTGCTGTGTTTCAAATACAGAAAATATATCTGCTTTGTAAATGAGACTGTTTAAATGCCATGTTTCTTCCTTCCATCATTCTCTCGTTTCTGCCTTTGAAGCTGAGCTAATCCTGGTGACTGTCGTCCTTAAAACAAAGGAGGTCTTGATTTGCATTTCCAGGAGGAAAAAATAAATGCTGTTGTGTCTGTTCTTGTGATTCTGGTTTCAGAAGCATGCTGTACTTTTAGCTACAAAGGAATTAGGGATACGTATGAAAAAAAAATCGGCTTTTTTTGGATTTGGGTCCATTGGACCAAAAAACCCCCCCCCATATTTCCCGATATTTCCAAATCCCAATATCAGTATGATATTAAGACATGAATATTAGTGTGATATTATTATGATAATAATTAGTATAATGTTAAGACATTAAAAATATCTTCCCTTCACTCGCGGAGTCACACCACGATTGCAGCATGCCTCCACGAGTGAATGGAAGTTAAATGCCTTCTCTTTTCACTTGTGGAGATGTGCCATGGCAGCAGCACAACTTGGGAAGTGAAGGGAAGTCATTTAAAAATGCCTTCCCTTCACTCACGGAGTTGTGCCACCACCGCAGCATGCCTCTGAGTGAAGGGAATGCCTTCTCCAAGCTGCACCACTGCAGTGGTGGCGGTGCGACTAGGCAATATAGGCCCAAATAAAAGCCAAACAACATTAGTTTTTATTCAGACCAGCTATATCAGTAGCTGAACCAGATTGTCTAATCTGCATTCGGCTGAATAAATACACAAAAAAACAAGGTATTTTTTAGTATTTATTCAGTTCGGTTCATGCTGAACGCACACCCCTAAAAGGAGTTATTCCTTTTCTGTGGCAGTGTGGACCTCTCTGATGGCCAATTTCGACTACAAAGGATTGGGAGAGGCATGTGGGATAGTGCTGTTACTTCATTATTTGTTGCATGGTAAAGGGATACATAGTAGTTCACCATGTTACAGTTTTTCAGTGAGTATGCTGTTGTAGTTCAGTTTTTCAAAGTATGCTGTTGTAACCTTTGCTAGGCTTTTTAATTTCTGTCTCTATTGCAGGGTAGATGAACTAGAGAAACAGCTGCAGGAAGTTAAATGGCGAGTTGAAAGAGATTCGCCTCCTAAAGAACTATCTAATGATGGAGAACTGTCTGCTGAACACAGGTCTTTTGATTTTGATTATCTGTGTTCCTTGTCATGTTTATGCTCAGTGGAATGTTATTTCATTGACTACAATGATCTAGCTGCTCTGCTAGTTTTCCAGCCATCTCCTTTAATGACATTGGGATGAATTCTCATTTATTGTTTTCCCTTTATACCTGACTTGCAGCTGTTTAAGTTAATAAATTCAACTGAATTAAGGTGTCCATTCTCCAAATATTATAAACTGACAGATGTCATTTTGTATTACAGAGCCTTTATAGAGAAATTTTCAGTAATTGATGCTATTCCAGACCAGCACCCTGGAGAAAATATATTCCAAATGGCACATGCTGGAAAGATTTTCAGTCAGCATAACCTTGATCTGAGGAATTCTGGATTCTTTCCCCATAATCCTATTGAAAAATACCTTCTTGGGTAAGGATAGTTTTCTAGTAATTTCCCTGTTAAACATTCACTGTGTCAGAACTATTTCTTGTGCACATTGATGTGTTTACTGGTGTTTTTTAAAAAATGTTCTGTTTCTAGCGTGTGCATGCTAACTTTAATCTTTCACCAGATAAGTAAGACAGACACAGAGAGAGGTATAACTACCCATTTTGTGACTGATTCATTGTTTTGATTGTGGGATGCGCATGAAGCTTAAATCCTACTGTATCTGGCTTGGCTTGGGTATAGCCTTATATTTTCGGCTGTGTTTGGTAGGAAGTGAGCTTGGAAGTGCAATAGTTGACCCTCACCCTGTATCCATGCCGGGCTTTCTTGCAACTCCCACTGATGAAGCTAAAAAACACCACTACATTTAGTGCCTATACAGTGCTGTCTCCTGGCATTTGGCAGGTTTACCAAGCTAGCAACTGTGAAATTATCTTTATGATTTTGTAATGGACAGGCTAATTTTGACAACACTAGACTAATTCTCTGTGATTCTTTCTACAGCTCTGGAATAACTCAGCAGCTTTTTGTAATTAACGAAGGCTTGCTTATGTCTGCTTACCATAGTTCTCCTTGCCCAGTACCCATTTTAAAGTGGATGTTTCAGGTAAGATGCATTTTATATATATATTTAGATTTGTCTGCTGATATGGTTAATGGTAAATTTGTACTATGTGTGGACTTTAATTTGTAGCAAAACCACCTCTTTACATTTTTTTAAGGTTAATGTTCTATATTGTCTCTTTCTGTTTTCTGGTGCTCAGTCTCATGCCAAATCCAAGATGTGTGTAGTCTCTCTCAATTTTTAGACAATATTCTATTAGTTTAATCTTTCTGCTGTGACTGTCTATGAATTAGCCATTATCATTATTTTGCAGTTTAGGCAGAAGATGTTTAGCATATCAAGTGTTGATTCTTCAGTTCATTATATAGAATCCCATTTATGACTGGTAGGGACAATGAGAATATCTCAAATACTGTACACTGAAGAGGCAAAAATCTGTACTAATTTGTGTCTCAGTTGGGCAGCCCTCTTCTCTCTCTGATGTTACTGGGGAGCAAGGGGGCTGCATACATGTGGCCTTCATACATTCACCTCCAGGCCCCAGGTTAAGAGCTCTTTTAGACTCTGTTTGCACAGGCACAAATATCTCAGGTGGAGTTCTGGAAGACAGTACCTGGTTTTTAATCTTAACTGAACATATAAAAGACAAAAAGGAAAAAATCAGGGAAAATAGAATTAGAATCATAGAGTCGGAAGTACCTCCAGGGTCATCTAGTCCAACCCCCTGCACAATGCAGGAAATTCACAGATACCTCCCACCCCCAGTGACCTTCCATGCCCAGAAGATGGCAAAAAAGCCTCCAGGATCCCTGGTCAGACTTGTGTGGAGAAAAATTGCTTCCTGATCCCAAAGTGGTGATCAGCATTTCCATGGGCATGTAAGAAAGGGCTAAGCACTGAGGCAACCCTTCCTGCCCCCTCTCATAACCTGCCTAAGTTCACAGAATCAGTATTGCTGTCAGATGGCCATCTAGCCTCTACCTCCAAAGAAGGAGAGCCCACCACCTCTCAAGGAAGCCTGTTCCACTGAGGAACCACTCTAACTGTCAGGAAGTTCTTCCTAATGTTTAGCCAAAAATGCTTTTGTTTTAATTTCAACCTATTGGTTCTGGTCTGACCTTCTGGGGCAACAGAAGACAATTCCACACCCTCCTCTGTATGACGGCCCTTCAAGTACTTGAAGATGGTTATATCACCTCTCAGTCGTCTCCTTTCCAGGCTAAACATACTCAGCTCCTTCAACCTTTCCTCATGGGACTTGGTATTCACACCCCTCACCATGTTTGTTGCCCTCCTCTGGACACGCTCCAACTTGTCTATATCCTTCTTAAACTGTGGTGCCCAAAACGGAACACAGTACTCTAGGTGAGGTCTAAGCAGAGCAGAGTAAAAGGGTACCATCACTTCACGTGATCTGGACACTATACTTCTGTTGATACAGCCCAAAATCGCATTTGCAAAGTTGAAGGAAACGCAGTACACAGTCCTGGACTTGGGGGATGTGATATGCTAAGAATCATATATTTTAATAGTCAACTGTGGCCCCCATCTGTGGCTACTTAAATCTGCACATTGGGAACACAATGACAGAAGATTTTTCTTCAAACTTGGGGACACCCCCCCCAGGCTTACAGACCTTCAAAAAAGTAAACAAAATCCTGCTGCAATGGGAGAGGGGAGAGGGAGCAGTGGTGCTGGAGGTGGGTAGCTGGGTGAGAAGAAGCCTCCTTGCCTGCATTCAGTGCCGTTGCCTGAGCTGCCCTCCCCAACTCTCCCCTTGGATGCTGAGCACTGACACTGAGGTGATGATGCTGTGGGTGGTTGGGTTGGTGAGTGGACGAAGAAGCTTCTTCTCACCCAGCCATCTGCCTCAATCAACTACTACACAATCTACAACATTTTGTTGTGGGTCTCCTAAATAAATACAAAATCACTGAACATTTGGAGAATAAATCAAATAACTACTAGTGGAAATGGTTCCTTTAAAGCTAGATGTATCTTCCCACAGCTGGTCCGAGAGCTGAAAACCTCCTGTGTGTTATGAGCATACTAGCAGTAAAGCCCGTTGTGAAAGCAATACAACGGGATCTAGAAAGAGGCTCTGGGGGAGTGCTCTGGCTTTGGGCAAACAGTGTCAATTTGCTGTGGTGACCTCAGCAGGGTATAATGACAGAGTCCACTGTTTTCTCCAGAGGAACTGATCTCTGCTACCTGAAGAGCAGTTGTAATTGTGAGTGATCTGTAGCCCTCACCTGGAGATTGGCAGCAATTGTTACCCAGGACAAAGTGGCTGGTTTGAAGGGTGTAGTCTATGGCATTCTACCTGTCTGAGGTCCCACCCCTCTGCAAACCCCACCCTCTCCAGGCTCCACCCCTCAAATCCCCAGGAATTTGTCAGCATGTAGTTGGCAACCCCATCTCCTTCCCAGCTAACCATGAACCTACCATTATCTGCCCCTTTGACTTCAGCTGACTTCTGCCCTCCCTTCTGCAGAGCAGTTGTAATTCTGAGTGCTCTCCAGCCCTCACCTGGAGATTGGCAACAATGGTTCCCTATGTGGGACTGACTGGTTTGGAGTGTGGAGTCTATGGCAGTGTACCTGTCTGAGGTCCCATCCCTCCTCAAACCTCACCCTCTTCAGGCTCCATCCCTCAAATCTCCAGGAATTTCCCATCTGGAGTTGGCAACCCTATCAGGACTGGCCCCAATGTGTTTTCTCCCAAAGGCCAAAGTAGGTGACAGGACCAAGCTTAGTTGCCTACCAACAGGCATTGAGGGGAATGTAGGGTTGCCAGCTCTAAGGAGGGAAATACCTGGAGTTTTGGGGGGTGGATTCTGTAGTGGGCAGCATTGGGCGGGGTGGGGGGGCGGAAGGACTCAGCAGGTATAATGTCATAGGGTCTACCCTCCAAAGCAGCCATTTTCTCCAGGGGAAACTGATCTCTGTCATCTGGAAATCAATTGTAGCAGTGGGAGATCTCCAGGTCCCACCTGGAGTTTGGCAACCCTAGGGGAAAGTGTGCTGCACAGCAGGGGGTTGAAGAGAATGGTTTGATGGGTGCTGGGCCAAGATTGGCAACAATAGTTCCCCAGGAGCAAATAGCTGGGTTGGAGGGTGGAGTCTATGGCACTGTAACCTGTCTGAGGTCCCCATCTCCCCAGGCAGCTTTTAAAACATGATCCTGGGACCTACACACCACCAGACATTCCAACTGTTTGCGGGGGGGGGAGTATGAGGTGTGGAATGGAGTGAAGTCCAATCAGCTTCCATATGCAAAAGACCTTGAAGGTTCCATATGCAACTGACATTCCAACTGCCTTGCAGGGAGGGGGGTGAGTTTGAGGTGTGGAATGCAGTGAAGTCCAATCAGCTTCCATATGCAAAAGACCTTGAAACACTGGGCGGGACTGCACAAAGCAGCCAGTCAACCCAGCCAGCGTCTTCTGACTGACCGTTCAAGTGTCCATACACTAAAGGAGTGCATTTTAGAACTTTGGCACCCACTATTCAATTATATATAAGGAGAGATGGCCTCGAGGACTTAGTTTCATTTAAAGATACTAGGTGTTTATGTACTACCCCTATGCTGATCCTAGGCTGTAACTCCCTTCCCTCATGGTGTGTTCTGTCTTTGCCATATTGAAAGACCTGGGGTTTGTGTGCATTGAATTCTTGTGGTATTTGAGCTGGGAGGGCAACTGGGCTGGACTCTCTCCAAACACCACTGGCACTCAGTGCCTGCCTCCCACAGTTGGTTAATTCTTACCCTCCTGGCAGTGAGGAGGGAAAAGGTGATAGAGGAAAGGCTAGCACAAGAAAATGGCAGTGGAAGAGAAGTATGTAGGGACCAGTGTTGGGGGAGGTGCAGAAGGCTAGAAGTTGTGGAGGCAGTAGTGGGAGAAAGTGTGGGGAACCCAAAGCTTTGAGAGGAGACAGACCAGCAGGGGAATTTCACCATGCATACTATTCTGTTGGACTGGAGTCTTTATGAAACCTTCTGATATTTGCATATCTGGCAGAAGTGCTTCTGTATAATTCTGTCATACAATACCACCATATCTTCAAGGGCTTGGCAACCAATTCAGTCCTTTAGGATTTATTGTGAAATTTCTGAAGGCTTATCATATTCTATATGTACCTTCCTTTGCTTCGCATACTTAGTTTATCATGTGATTATTATGTAACATGGTATTTTTGTCCTTGGAAAGTATATCAGGATATCCTGTAGTTTGATAGTCCTAAATGAAAAGTACTGCATTCTTTTTGCTCTGATGGTAATTAAGAAGAGTATCCTTAGATGTGAATTAAAAGGACATTGCTCATTCTTGTTACTGAAACTATGATAGTCATAATTTTGTTGACCTGCTTCAAAGTCTAGTGTATCACATGTGATTAGTTCTTTATGTGATTATCTAGTATCCCTGTACTTAAGAGATAACTGCAAGCTCTAATTGTGTTTGTTGTCCTTTCTCTCCAATAGATGATGTCAGTGCATTCAGACAGATTTGTTTCAAAGAAGATTTTGGATATGTTGATGGCATTAACCATTAAAAATGGTGAGTATTCTAAATTAAAATTTAGTAGATAATCCTTTTGCCAAAATTGTAGGTTAGAAACCTTCTCTTTTCCAACTCTGCGCTTAGTTGTTTTTAAGGTAATGATTTTAGTTTAATTGGATTTTAGTCAATCCGAGTGATAAAATTTCTGCTTTTTAACACCCTGTTCTAACACTTTCTGTTATGCTACAGAGAAGGTAGAGGGCTTAGACACAGGGGGTGGAAAGAAATTTTTAAAGGAATACTCATATTTGGTCAATATGTCTAATTTTAAACATGGCCAAATCTCTGGATACTTAAATCTAGAGACTGGAGCCAAGAACAAACAATACAGATCTTTCTACAAACCTGAAAAAGCCCCAGGTTCCCAGGAGAATCCTATATATAGGGCAGTTAAAACACCCTAAATAATAGAAGCAGTGCCTGTAGCTTTAAGGAAAGAAGGTGTTAGTGGTGTTTTAGGGGTTGCTAGGCAACTACAATATTGTTGCCAGTCTTCTAGCTTGGTTTCTGTCAGTAAAAGGAAGGGGGAGGAGTCATGGCCTTTTCAAGGACTGTTTTGGCCTTTGAGGGTGACTCATCAGGGCCAGGCCTGGTAGCAACTACCAAGCAACTTGACACCACTGGACACTCACTCAGTCCCAGCTGCTCGTTACTATTTACAGCTGCTGCCCTATGACAGCCACTGTGGTGTAGTAATTAGAGGTTCAATGTGGGATCTGGAAGAACCAGGTTTGAATTCCCCTACTCTGCCATGGAAGCTTGCTGGGTGGCCTTAGGCCAGTCACACCATCTCAGACTAATGTACTGCAGGGTTCTTGCTGTGAGGATAAAATGGAAGACAGGAGACTAATGTGAGCTTTTGAGTCCCATTGTGGAAAAAGGCAGGGTAGAAATTAAGTAAATAATAATTGCTGAAGACAGGTGGCAGATAAAAGACAGGTTGCTTGGTGAGTGGGAAGGAGAGAAGGAAGCAGGGAAATATGAGGATATAGGAAAAGAGGAAATAATGTGGGAAGGGGAATACAAAGGAAAATGAGTTCCCTTCTCCACATGTCCTTGCATGTTTCCCACTGTGCAGCTGGGCCTGGGCCGGTTCCCCTTAACTTGGCCACAGTTTTCCTGGTGGAGCTGCCAGGAGGAGGGAAGCCGGGAAAGGGGAAGACAGGAGGGCAGATAAAGGAAGGCTGGCTGGTGCATGGGAAAGAGAGAAGAAAGTAGGAAAAGGTGAGTAACTATTGGAGGGTCCTCCACTTGTTATATCTAATTCTGAGCATGGCCAAAATGCATATTGTTAGATCCACAGATTAAGGCCATGTATAGAGAAGGGAGGGGCTGTGGCTCAGTGGAAGAACCTCTGCTTTGCATGCAGAAGGTCCCAGTTTCAGTCCCTACCATCTCCATTTAAAAGGACCAGAAAATAGGTGATGTGACAAGGCTCTGCATGAGACCCTGGAGAGCCACTGCTAGTCTGAGTACAGTACTGACTGATGGACCTGTGGTCTCATTCAGTATCGGGAAGCTTCCTGAGATCTTTCTACAACTTTGGGAAAAACCCAGGTTTGTAGAAAAATCCGAAACATAAAAAACTGGGGGGTCTTACAAAAAGGCCCCAAATAAGGAAATTCTGTCTGTGCTTGCTCAGGAAATGTAGAAGAACAGTGTACAAGCATTCATGCTCCCAAGCCTTGTGAACAGGTAACTGAGGCAGCTGGGAAGGAAAGAGGAGGCAAAGGTGGGGAGGGTGGAAGAGGTGTGCTGCTGGACAGGCGAGTGTGGGTAGAAAGAGGAGGCATGGGAGAGTGAGGCAGTGAGACAGTAGGAGCCAGCAGCAGCTGAGATAACGAAGGTAGTACTCTAGAGGCAGCAAGGGTGGAGCTGGCACAAGAGCAAGTCATACAGTGGCAGTAGAGGCAGAGGACAAGGACAGACAGGAGGAGGTGGGGGGCAGGTGAAAAATGTAGGTGGCAGAAACCTGTAGGCAGATGTGAGTACCCTCCTTGTTTCTACATAGTACCTTCCTTGTTTCTGTATATTTTCTGTGAGCCCTTAAGACAGAATAGAAGTATTTTCTACACTACTATTGTAGTGACCATTACTCCACCGAGGGTCACTAGCCCTGTTCACAAGTTATGGTGAACACATGTACCATCCATGTACATTGTGTACATAATTTTTCTTTATATGTGCACTGAGTAATTCTCATGCTACCTTCAGCACCTGTACAGCTCAGTTTGTGATTTAAACGCCAGATTTATCCCATTTTCGTTTGTAAAGTGAATGCATGTTGGTTGTTGTAGATTTCCCAGGGTGTATGGCTGTGGTCTTGGCATTGTAGGACCGGATGTTTCGCCGGCAACTGTGACTGGCATCCTCAGAGGTATAACATAGAAAGATGGAGTACTCTCTGTGTCAATGTGAGAAGAAGAATGGTAGGCAGGTAATTTATATCTACTCAGGAAGGTGGGGTAGGGCTGAGTCTTTATCTTGTAGGAGTTCCTAGGCTGTGACATGCTGAGGAGCTTTCCTGAGGAGGTTCTTTTGGATATGGATTGCAAAAGAACCTCTTTAGGAGAGCTCCTCTGTTAGCATGTCACAGCCTGGGAACTCCTACAAGATACACCAACGCTACAAGGAGGAGGCAACTTAGGAATGCGGCAAAGACATTTGAACATAGTACTCCTGCAGTGCACTGAGCTGCACAGGCCAAGTACCAGCAAGATCACCCTGAGGTGTTCAGAACAACACAGTCTCCATATGTGTCCTTGACACAGAGAGTACTCCATCTTTCTGCGCTATACCTCTGAGGATGCCAGTCACAGCTGCCGGCAAAACGTCAGGTCCTACAATGCCAAGACTACAGCCATACAACCCAGAAAATCTACAACAACTAATGAACTCTGGCTGTGAAAGTCTTCGACAACGTATTGAATGCATGTTGTCTCTCTTACAAACATGTATGCAGGATGCGTGTATGTTCACTGTAATGTGAACAGAGCTAATCTCTCTCCTTTGCATAAAGTAGATCTATGAGATTGGCAGGAAATTTTATACACTTTGTCTTCAAACCATAATTGCTGAGATTTGAAAAATGGTACCATACTCATGTTATGTTTTGTTGATTACTTCTTACATTGAGCCTCCTCTCCTACATTCAGAAACTGCTTAAAGCAGAATCTGTACTACACTGAAGGAGCATGGTCACAGTCTAGAACCTGGTCTGTGAAGAACTCAGATTTTTTTCTCTCTGCAGCATCGTTTTCTGATCCACCAAGGTCATGGATTCCATCGCTATGTGATATAGCAACCGTGTTAATCAATATGGGTGTTCCTTTTAACACACTATTTCCTCTGCTGCATTTTCAGCCTACCTTTACTAAGGATAATATTATGTAAGTGTTAAATAGTAGCTGATGATGTTGTTTCGCCTTGTGCATTTCCTGGGTTTGTTATGAACTGTAAAAAAATATTAACCTCTGTAAATTAAACAAGGGCCCCGGTCACACGGGCCGGATATTGTGGGGGGAAGGCATGGCTGTTTGCCCCAGGGCAAAATAACGCGTGGTTGCGCCAGCAGACGTACCGTGGAGGTCCCGTGGAAGGGGGGAGGTGCTGAGCACACCACAATCCTGCGCCGCGGCAAAGAAGCGGTGCGGCAAACGGGTGTTTTGTTTTCCAGACACCAAAGTGTGCGCATGCCCCGTTGGGTGCTTGTGCGCATCTCATGGACAGTTGAAAAAAAAACCCTTTATACGAGGGGGCATGGGCGGGCACCGGAACTACCACCGGAAACACGATCAGGCGCCTGCCCTTGCCCCGTGGTTTCCGGAAACTAGTACCTCTGAGGTACTAGTTTTTAACCGCGCGTCTTCGGCGGGAAGCCTCGGGTTTGCCACAGGAACTCTACGCTTCCCAGTTGTGGCGGTGAGATCACACCCGGAAACTCCGCCTATCTTCCGTCTCTCTAGCGTGCCTAATGCTCCGTGTGACCGCAGCCAAGATTGCTTTAACAACTTTTCAATTTAAATGAAAGGTTGCTACCCTTGAATCACCTATTTGACTTTCTACTGAGTTGTGTGTCTCAGGTGTAGTGCTGCTTCCAGGATGCTACACTAGTACAGAATGTGTGTAACAGACAGTTAAGAAGCAGAGCTGGTTGCAACCTCACTTTCTATCACCTGTGTATTTAAAAATGAGGTTTCTTTCTCTTGGTTGATTTTATTCATTGCTTTATAATTTATTACAGTGGGGTTCTTCAAGTGAAATCAAATGCATAGGTGCCAGAAGTGAATTAGTTGTCCTCCTCTATGTAGTTGCATAAAGCCATCTTGCATTGAGACAGCAGACAGTGTTTATGGTAACTGGGTGGTTAGCTAACAATGTGTTATATTTAAGTAGGCATTTTATGCTGTAGTCCAGAATCTGTCTTTGTTTTTGTTTTCTTTGCCCTGAACCCATTACATCAAGTAGATTAAATCTAAATAAAGGAACGTTATGCCTGTACGTGTTAAGATCCATCATATTGTACAAATGTAAATCAGTGGAGTCATCTTGGAAACTAGTCCTGCTATAGTTGAATTAGACCTGCTGAATTAGTCTTGCTATAGCTGAATAATATATTAAAAACAGTTACTATAAAATAGTTCTTTTTCATTTGGTCTGAAATGTACAGGACTGTGGGGAAGCAAGCACCTGGAGACTTCTCAGAAAATCTGCCTTCTTTTTTCTTCCTGGTTCAAAACAGTCTTTGCAACATGGCTAAGGTAACAATGCTTCCATTGGTCCCATTTTGAAAAGTCTTTTTTTCTCTGTGTAAAAGTTCTTCTGCTTTATGTGGTAGTTTCAGGTGATAATTAAAATTTTGTGTTTTTTCTTCTTCATCTGGCTTCAGAGCTATTTTAAAGAGGTTGCTGAAATACATAGCAAAACTCCTGTGCAGAAAGTTATTAACAATAGCTTGATCTCATGTACTTAAAAATAGAGGGCATAGTCTACAGTATGACAGATTTAACCACACCCTTAATTCTGCCATTAAAATTGGCAGCTTTCAGTTATCCCCAAAGTATTCCCTTGCTGCATGTACCTTTAGCTGACATCCATATAAATAGATGTAAATCAGAGATGACATTGATTTTGACAGACTGGCCGAAAGAGAGAATGAGCTGCAAGCTGGAAAATAGAAAGTACAGAGCTCTTTGATAGCGAAAGTTTTTAAAAGATTTAATTTAATGAGAAATAAGATCTTATTAGTGATAAGCAGAAGCTGAACCCAGTATGGTGAGATGGTTACATTGTTTGAGTGCAGTTTGTCTGCAGTAGATGAATCAGTGTCTGGACTTGCTGTATACAACTGTATTTAAGCTACTGTTTACTATTGGTAACTTTTTCTAAGGACTTATCTACTTTTTTTTAAAGTTTCTACAACTGTGTGTAGGCATATGCCCAGAATGTTACACAGATAAAGAAATACTTCTGTTGCTGCTGCTTTTGTTTAAACTGAGTCTGGAAAAAGAGCTGAAACAATATCCCCTAGTGGACTTGGAGCACCTTATTATAAAACTGCTGGAAAATATCAGAAACTGGGATACAGAGGTTAGTTTATTGATGCTTTTTGTGTAATCTGTGTATAATTGAGTTTAATTTTATAAGCACTCCATGGAAGATTTTGAAATCGGTATCTTACATGTTTTGTAGAATTGCTGCTTTGGCAATAAGAAATGTGCTACATTTTTGCTCAGTTTATTTGTTAACGAACTCTTGTTATGTTGAGTACATTGATTGGAAATACCTGCTGTTTCATATGGGGAGGACATATTAATCTGTAGCTGTGGTCCACCAATTTTGTCTTTTGCCATAAGTGTGTACATGATTATGTACACACTTGCAGTACCATGCCATAACATGTTATATGGGCATTCTTTCATAAGTCGTTTAAAGAGGAAAAACTGCTGATTCTTACTTGTAACCTGTTATCATTTGAATACATGCTGAAACTGGTTTTAGATATTGCCATCAGTTTACACTGATGAACTCTTTTCCTTTCTAAAAAGATGCCCAAGTTGTGTCTGGCAATAAGTGACCTGTCTAGCCACCATCATGACCTCTTGTGGTTGGTTCAGTTTGTTCCCAATTGGACAGCACGTGGGAGGTAAGCTTTTAGTATAATTCAGCTTTTACTATAATGTATGTTACTTCAAAATATATGTAGAAAGCATTGCAGAACATTAGATCATTGCTTAATTTTTATTTTTTAGACAAGCAAGACGACATCTTAGCTTGGTAGTAATCTCAAAACTTCTTAAAAATCACGTGAATATACCCAGTAGCAAGGACCAACAGGTACTGTATAAATCACTTTATCAAGACATTAACTTTCTAGACTTTTGTTAAATCAGTAATAAGCTTTTTATCTCTCATGTCTCTTAATAAATTTACACTGGAGATTCATCACCTTGGAGGGAGGTCTGCACTGGTTTGGCTCCTTTCCCCCCATGCTGCTACTATTCCCCTTGCAGTCCCTGTCTCTGGAACCTTTATTCCCACAGTGTCCTGGTTCCCAACATTCAGTGTCTGCTGGGTGTGCTTCTATCTTTTTTTGAATTCTATCTAAGCTGCCACTATTTGTTTGTTGCTGTTTCTTCTCTTGTCTTCTTCCTGGTACCTGCTGTGCCACCTAATAAGTTGCTTGACTTAATTCCTCATACAAATGTACCCTGAACTAAATTAAAAGCTGTGATTCTTGGGATTCTGATGAGCCACACAGATGCTCGAAGTCTGCATAAATAAAGATCCTACTTTGTAAATTTATGTTTAGGTTTGTCTTGAAAATTGCCAAAGCAAGCTCTTTTCACTGCTGTAAAAAACCCCAATAAAATCTGCATTCAGTTGACTATATGTAAACCAACTAGTTTATCTTGAGTCAGATCACTAGTGTATAGAGTTCACTATTGTTTATTCTTTTTGGCAGCAGCTCTCAGGAAAGGAAAGATCTTTTCCAATATCTGCTGCCCAAATCCTTTTAACTGGAGGTGCCAAGAAGTGAACCTAGGAGGACCTTCTGCACACAAGGCATGTGATCCATGACTGAGCTGTAGCCTCTTTAATAGTATTCCCTTTTTTCCTTGATTAAATAGATGGCACTCCTGTGCCAGGATCTGGTGGAGATGAAGCCTTCCAATCTATTAAAGAAAATTGCAGAAACAGAGATGCATCAAGATGATCTTAGTAAAGAGTCTCTTCTCTCTGAATTCGAGCCCCAGGTAATGCCTGATAATATTTCCAGAAAGCGAGGCCCTAGAATCACAGTTAAGGATAGCTGGGAGCTGGGCAGGTAGTTGATCGGTTACTTGGATTATATATGCTCATAGATCAGAAGGCTCCAAAGTTGTATAACCTTAGGGGTAGATCGAGATGCATGGACAGCAAGAAGAACCCAGGCAAGGCAAGGTGAGAGTGCAATGCAAGGTCCAAGCTGGAACTCTTCCAGTTGTTTTTACCAATGTACCAATTCTTCTGACCAGTCTTCCTCCCATGGACCAGCCCTTCTTGACCACACATTCTAGATCCTGCTTAGTACCAGAAGTGAAATCCAGACATTGCATTGCTGATCAGTACTTCACTCACTCTTCCCAAGCAATGTTTTCACTCTTAACATCATAGCTCATGTATTTTGCCTAGATTTCTAGTCTGGTACAACTGCTGGCTCGTCTGCTGGCAGTGTTAACAGTACAGGCATGGAGCAGTCCTGTACCATGTAAGCCTGCTTCTTGACCACTCACAGTGCAAGGGGCAGGCAGTCTTTGTCAGTGCAGTTCATTGCCACTGAACCTACTGACTTAAGTTCCTTTTTGATTCAATAGAGTAATGTTTTGATTTCTAAAAAAGTATTTTTTGGGTAGCCACAATAATGAAAAGCCATATTGCTGCCTACTGTTTTACTCCCAGAAGTCATGTCAAACATAAATGTATTTTGGAAAAATTAGCCTTAAAACCATGAAATTAGTTGAGAACTGGTTCACAGGTGATTTCAGTTCGCAAGCTGCATGCATGGCAAGGTGCAGGAATGGCTCTTTGTCTCGCGCATTGTTTCCGACCATTAGTGTGAATGCATGGAAGTGCCTACGTGAATAGGTCCTGTTTGTGCTATTTGTGTGCTGAAAAAAGTGAATGCAGTCACATAGCCTTTTAATTATATAAATAAAACAACATAAACCTCACATAAAACAGTACACAATATACATAAGTTATATAAATCAAAGAATACCACACAGGCAGGATATAATGCCACTGATAAAATATTTTCAAATGATTATTTGAATCCCAACACTTACAAAAATATCAGGGACTTCTTAAACTAAGAAGAGTTTGGTTTAGTGGTTAAGTGCACAGACTCTAATCTGGGAGAACTGGGTTTGATTCCCCACTCCTCCACTTGCAGCTGCTGGATAACCTTGGGCAAGCCATAGTTCTGTCACAGCTGTTCTGGAAAGAGCAGATCTCTCAGAGCTCCCTCAGCCCCACCTACCTCATAGGGTGTCTGTTGTGGGGAGGGGAAGGGAAAGGAGTTTGTAAGCCGCTCTGAGACTCCAATCTCCTCCTCCTCCTCTCCATTTACTCAGTGAGATAGAGTGTGCGCCGCGCTCCCCCCCCCCCCCCCGGTCCTATAATTTCATATAGGCAATTTTGTTGATTTTTTCCTATTTATACTATAAAAATATTAACAAGTAGTGAGGGTGGCTTGTATGTGATCCAGAGTCTCTCTTCTTTATCCTGTCATATGTGAATCAATGTGTCGATTTGTGGTGAATTGACAGGGTAGGACAGATAGCAGACTGCTTGCAGCAGCATGTTTAAATCTTGTGCTGGTAACACACTTTGATAACTCTTAAATCTGAATTATTAGATAATGTTGTTGGGCATGCTTCAGTTCTTTGAGAGTCCTGAACAGCCTTTTGTAACAAGCTCTTTTTTTGCCCATGAAACAGCATCCAAACTAGTAAGTGCTGTACTAAATATTTTTGGGTCTTTTCCTAGGCCTACTATCTGACCTATGTTCTGCTTCACTTGGTCAGGGAAGCTAGCAGTTCTGAGGCTGCATATTCTAATCAAAGGGTGAGTAACTGGCTGAAGTTATAAAATGCATGTGAAGGGGTTGTTTTACATGAAGAAGTACATGCTATGAAATGTGCTTAAATATTCATGGCTTATGATGGTACCACATAGTGCTTAGCAAATAAAAGGTAAAACATACTGAAATGTGTAGTGGTAACTTATACTGAGCCACTTCATTTGTTCTTGGGAAAAACAACTTTGAATTAATATCTGTCATTGGAAAACTATATGAAGCCTATTTAAGTTTAAAATTGAAAGAATTTGTCATGGCTAGATTATATCAAGGTACTAAAGTTAAAATTAGAAGTAGTTTGGAAGGCAGACCATGGACTCTATTACTACCTTTCAAGGTGATCAAAAAGGTTCTCTCTTATCTCCCTATTTATTCATTCTGTATAGGACTTTTTAGGGGAAAATCAACCAAATGCTACTTTAATGTACTGGAGTCTGGGTAGAAGGTATTTCTGTGGATATTGATTCATTTCTGTTAAAATTCGTTAGGAAAATAACCAGATTGCTTAAATGTGTATAGCTGTTTGGTAAGAATTTGCAATTTCTTCACTGGAATCAGCAGCTTGGTTAGATGCATTTAGACTCAGGATTAAGATTCTATTTAATTATAGATGAAGGCTCTGCCTTAGACTACGAGAGGAATCCTTTCAGAGTAAGGTCGGTTTATCAAAGACTGGAACAACTACTAGGCTTTTATCATTTACCATTGATGGTAAAAAAGCAGAAGTAGTGTTAGCATTGGTTAAAAAGCAGTTATTAGAGTTAGATTTTAGAAGTACAGATCTGCGAGCAGGAAGGGTGTGTTCCATTACCTATAATGGATTAGAACCTTTGGCAAGCTTTGTGGAATATTTAAAATCTTTTGACTAGGTGTGTGCCTAGACTGCCCAACAGAGCCTGCAAAGCAGCTGATCCTGCAGGGAGAACTCTCCTCACAGGCTCTGCTGGAGCTCTCTTCAGCAGTTCGGTCAAACAGGCCAAAAGAACCCCAGCTGAGCTGGTGGGGAGAGTGCCCTCCCAAACTGTTTTGTGGGCTTTGTTCTGCAGCCCCTTTAAACACACCCTGTTTAAAGGGACTGTAGAAGAAAGCCCAAAAGCAGCTGAGCAGCGGGAGCAATCTGCTCCTGTCCCTCAGCTGTTCTTTAGGTTTGCTGGTAATCCCTGAATATATTTGGTATTTGGGGGGGGGGGGGGTTTCCTCTGGTTCTCCTAAAAAGTCCCAGATACAGTTGGGATGCTGAAATATTCCTGAATAATACCAATAAGGTGTTTTTTGGGTATATTTTTGGTTTGGGTAGACCTGAATGCACACTCCTACTTTTGACTGTTCCTGGATACTGTAATATTTTTTTTGGCTGCTGATAAAATGCCGTACCATCACCTGAATTTAAAGGCCAATTTGCAGGAGTTCCTTTTTCTGAACATTGTTTCTTTTGTAATGTGGGGAAGGAGTCACTTTGTCCTTAAATGCCCTTGATTTAAATATTGAAGATGGAGAAAGCCGGATATCCCTGTTAAAGAAGGATGAGTTGAGATAATGATGGAATATTATTGAGTCCTTTTAGTAATTCAACATAAAATAAAATTTAATTTTTTAATAATTACGGTGGGCTTAGAAGGGAAAAGGGAGATATTTTTAATTAGTGTGGTTAGGCTTAAGGCTATGGCCAATAAAGCCATAACATTGAAAGAAGAAAGAACATACTGAAATGTGTAGTGGTAACTTGCACTGAAGCACATTGTTTGTCTTTGGGAAAAATAACTAAAATAACTGAATGAGCATTGTATATTTTTAGAAATGGCTGCTGAAACTCAGTGGTACTCTGGAAAAACATGTGAAGTGTGATATTAGAGAAGATGCCAGGCTGTTTTACAGAACAAAGGTGAGTCTCTTGTACTATTTTCCTTCCCTCCAAGAGATGTGGGATTTATCTGAGGACTCTTTTTCCAGCTGCTTTCCCAACATAGTTGCAAGTTTGACAGGTTTTCTTTTCTTTAAAAATCTGTCAGAACATGGAAGTACTTTTCTTCCACCCAAGTGCTGATTTTGGGTCTGCTCCCTGTCTCATCTCTTAATTCACTTTTTTTAAATGGTTTTTTTTTTTTTGCATTTTTTTTGTGTGTGTGTGTGCATGCACCTGGAAGTCATGGTGACCTCTGGTGACTGACCCCTACTGGAGGCCTGGAAGATATTCAGAGAGGTGGCTGAATAAATCCTGCCCCTGCCTCCCTACTGCTGGTATTCCAAGGAGGTCTCCCATCCAATACTTGCCGGAGTTGACCCTGCTTAGCTTCTGAGATCTGACGAGATGGGGCTTGCCTGGGTTATTCAAGTCATGGTGTCACTTCTATATTTTAATGGTAAATTTAAAATCCTAATGGCAAGAGTGAGATGAGAGATGAAAACATATTTCTACATACTGAGGCACATGACAACTCAGAAGACTAGGGCATGTAGGAATCTTGATTACTCTTGATTCATTTACAAACACATTCTCTGACTTTAATGTGGTGACAATATTAAATCATACAGAGTATGTATTATTGCCTTGCCTTGCCATGTAGAACTGGGCACTAAAAGAGAAAAATGCCCAGCCTCCTAGCAGTTAGTATACTTCCTGATACTGGTTGGCATCAGTGCAGGGTGCCTTCCACTGACACTAAATGCTCTTGCATTGAGGAAATGCGAAGCACCACTTCAAATTGTAGGTGATGAATTCCTTTTAATATTTCTTCACAAATAACTCCAAGCACATATAAAATTGGAACAGCAGGGGAAAGTCTCTTACCCTCTCCCTTTGTATGTTGTGCTGGCTTTTTGTTTATAGGGAAGTTTTTACTATAGAGGAGTATTCCACAATGTAAATATTCATGATCCTCCACCTGTAGTTTGAAGTGGTGCAATTTGTTCCGCCATCTTACTCCCATTTCATTTTCTCACGTCTATCATGCCTTATTGGTGGCTTTGAAAGTACTCTATAGAATATCTGATCTGGCTTGGGATCATACATTCTTCTAGTGTACCTTTTAAAAGATTCCAGGAGATCTGAGATCTTTGCTTCATCTAGGTTGACTTTATTTCATGTTAACTGGGAGATCCGAGGCGGGGGTAGCATAAGTAAGCTCTTAATTCCACAAAGAATTGTATAATACTCCACCACATTCTTTTGCCTACAAGTGCTATCTCTCTCTTGGAGTTGTCATATAGTTCATATCTGCGCTAAACAGTAGGCTAAACTATATTTCAGTTAAAATCAAGAGTGGGGTAGGACTAAACCCTTCGCTTTCAGGGTTTTTTTTAACAAACCAGTTATTTGGTAAACACACTGAAAAAATATGATGGGCTAAGAATGAAATCATCTTTTGAATTATTGATCACTGCTTAAATACCTAGGGACAGTATCGCCCCCTTATCGGAAAGAGAGTCCTCGTCAGAAGATACCGAGTCCAGTTCGCCACTGGATTTGCTGTCTTTTTTTCCTTCTCGACCCCGGCTGGCTCTCCCAGCTACACTCTCAGGAACTCACGTGCTTTGAAAACAAAATCAATCTTTTCTTTTTTATCTTGTAGTTTGAAAATGACGCATTCTGGAATTAACCATCTGTAGACAATGCTGTTTGTTTGAAGAAAAAGGATTAAATCTTTATATTTCTTTCTCTTTTGTCTTATTTCAAATGGAATGTCTTTTAGAATCCTGATGGTGTTGTCCCCGATTTTCAAGGGTGTTCCTGTAGTTGCTTTCAGGATAGAATCCCTCACATGTCGCTTTGAGAATCTAGCCACTATTTCCCCAGGTAGATTATTCTTTTTGATGTACACGGAATAGGACCTATAGACCACATTCATTTCACTTGCAAGATACTCTGCTTTCAAATCTGTAACTGGGGCTAATGCTTCATTCAAGAGTTGCTTTAGATTCTCACCTTTTAATTCTAGGACCCCTTGAAACCGTAGGACCAAATTTTCTTTCTCCATTTGCAGCTGTAAAAGTTGCAATTCTTCCGAGGCTTGTTTCTTTTCCAATTTTTGCATCTTTTTCTTGACATTTTTAGTGGTGGCGTCCATTTCCTTCACCTTCTTGGCTGTTTGCTCCGTTATTTTTAAAGTCTCAGTCAGTTGGAGCTGCTGAGTTGCAAGATTCTGGTTTAGATTCATCAGCTGATGTTCAATATTAGTCATCTGGTCCAGCAGAGGGCACAAGGACTCTGCCAACATTTTGGAAAACTCAGTGGTCTCTTCCGGTCGAGAGCTCAAGATCCCGGCTGGTGTCACTTTTACTAGTTTGTCTTTCTCTGCCCTCTTCCCCGCCATCTTCATGGATTGTTTACTTTTATGAAAACTTGCTAAAGTCCCTGAAATACGCCCATACTCTTATCCGCGCTCTGGTAAGTCTCTCAAAACAGATTTCAATGCTTTTTCTTCTGCTCCCCCCTTAGTATTTCGTTGTTTAGTTCGTGCGTGTGGGAGGGACCCTTCCCCCGCTCGCTTTTTTCGCCGTTCCCAGGGGGTAGCTTTCTTTTTAAATTCTCATTTCGCTTTAACCTGACTCACAGTTCATTGTTGGTCATACGACCTCGCTCAGCACATGTTCAAAATGCTTGATCTCCGACGCTTGTCCTGGTCAGCAGCTCTAAATCCATATGGACACTCAGCGGTAGGACCGTTGGGGCGGAGGAGCGCCTCAATTCCCCAGCATTGCGCTGGCGAAGAGGCCACCCATCCAAAGCCCTATGGCTAGGAGCCTTTTGCCAAGGCTCGGGGGGGGGGTAGTGACCCGTCGCCCCCCCCTCCTTTCCGCTGGTGCGCAGATCACATCCCCGGGAGGTCCGGGAAATGCGTCCGCCAGCGTGTCGCCATAAACCGGAAGCCACACCATTTGCCTTTTGTGATTCATTGTCAATTACTCTGTTTCTTCCTTCACTGTATGTATGTAATTTATAAGCAACAGTAAATATATATAAAAGGAAAAAAATCAACAGTTCCAACTACTCAGCATTTCACTCAGCAGGTACCAATACATTTGTATGTTTCCTTTCTAGGTAAAAGATTTAGTTGCCAGAACATACAGCAAGTGGCAACAGATGATCCATAGTTCTCGGCCTACTCAGGTATCCTGCAGTTATGTCAGCTTTCCCTATGGCTTTGTGTACTCATGTTATTTCTTCAAGTTTTCAGTTAATTTTAATGGCACGGATGCCTTGAAGGGGATTTTTGTGAGTTTTGAATAAGATGAAGATTACTTTTTTTGTAGGTGGTTATGTGGTTTGGCCAATTTAGAATTTGGTTAGCTGGGGTTGTTAATAGTGATACATGAACTTAGAACTTCAATATCTTATTCTTGGCTTAGTGAAAAAGTATACTCTACCAATAAATGGAAACCAGACAACAAAAAGTATTTAAAACTATGGCTATGAAAAAGCAAATTGTAAAAATGTGATTTCCAAGGCCCTGTAATATATAACACATAAGCAGTCTAAAAGAATGTGATTAGTTCTTATGCCCTGAACTAGTACAGGCAAAGAGGTCTTGCCATGTAACCTGAAGAGGGAAGAAATTGCCTTTCTTAAATATAAGCACAGCTCAAAATAAGAAGCTTTTAAATCTAAATTTTTAAGCTAGGTGTGTATTTAGAAAGGTACAGTTCGAAACGTCTTCTAGCAGTAAAAACTCACCATAGATCAAGATGAGTGGCCCTGTTAGTCTGTCTGTAGCAGTAGAAAAGAGCAAGAGCCCAGTAGCATCTTAAAGACTAACAAAATATGTTGCAGGGTATGAGCTTTCGTGAGTCACTGCTCACTTCTACAGATACAGCTAGAATGGGAGTCCTTCTGTTCTATTTATTGGAAAGTGGAGTGATTTCAGATGCTGAATTACATTAGCAGGCAAATGACAATAGTAGACATGATTGGATTTAGGTGAGATAGGCATGGAGAAATCAGCACTGGTAATGAGACAGGAAACCTAGGTCTCAATTCAATTGACAAGATAATGCATCCATCTGGATTGACTTGCAGTCTGTTGTGATTAGGGATGGACTCACAAAACTTTGTTCATGACAAATTTTGGACAGTTTGTGGTTCTCAGACCGAAGTTTGTGTACTGTAGCCTAGCCACAAACCTCCATGAACTTTTGAGGCAGTTTGTGGAGGTTTATGGGAAGTAAAAAGCAGGGGCTTAAACCAGGCTTCCCAAGTACTTACCGTGATTCGGCAGGGGACACAGACGTCCTCGCAGGATCATTCCTGCGGGGACAACAGACGCGCCACACCATGCCATCGCCAGGAAGTGATGCTGGGCGACGCTCTGGCAATGGGGCTGGAAACTCGATGGTACTATCGAGTTTTCAGTCCCATTGCCAGAGCGTCACCCAGCATCACTTCCTGGCGACGGCATGGTGCGTTACAGGGAGGAATGGTCCGGCCGGGGAGCATGTTTCCCCCGCCGGATCACGGTAAGTACTTGGGAACCCTAGCTTAAACCCCTGCTTTCTCCTCCCCATGAAAGCTGTCAAAACAGCTAAGTAGAAGGAGCAGACTGCTCCCAATCCAATCTGTTTAGATTGGAAACAGCTGAGCTGTGGGGGGCAGCCTGCTCCCATGGCTCAGCTGTTTTGGGCTCTAAAGGGGCTTTCTGTTTAAAGGGGCAAACTGCTCCCACACTCAGTTGTTTAAAGGAACTTTCTTGGGCACTCAGTCCCTGTGGCTGATAGCCAGGAAAGCCCCTTTAAACAGCTGAGCTGCATGGAGCAAACTGCTCCATGTGGCTTAGCTATTTAAAGGGGATTTCTTGGGTTCAGCTCCAAGCCATCTAAACTCCTTCTCTCTGCTCTCTGTGAAAAGTGGCGATGAGCAGAAAGCAGGGGTCACGAACCCATATATACCAGTTTAGTTCAAAAACCAACCTCCCAGTTCATGTTTCAGCCACAAACCAAACTGCAAAAATGCGGTTTGTGCCCATCCCTAGTTGAGATTTTTGGCCAATGTATGACAGAGTGTTGGACTAGATGGGCCATTGGCCTGATCCAACATTGGCTTCTCTTATGTTCTTATGAGATAATGAAGTGTAAACTTTTATGTATGAAAGCTATCATCCTTAGAAGTAAAAGCCATCTTTTAAACGTTTTTGTTTTGTTTTTATTGGTTATGAACTATAACCAAAATAGCTTCAAAAATTAATGTATGCCCTTAACTCATAGTCTGCCAATTAAATATAGTTATCTGCTTAGCTGTTAAAGTGTTGTCACTTTGTTGTTTTGCTGAATGCTCTCAATTTTTATTCTTTTTACTTCTTGGAAATTCTACATTAGGGGAAGATTCATGATTTTTGGATTCCCGATTCTTAAAATGGAAAGATTGTCAAAATGCTATGCTCAAGGAAACAGTGACTGAAAACTACAGTGCAGTGTAAGAACAGGAAGAAGAAACCATGTAATCAAAACTTAACTTCTTTGTGTGCCATTAGGGTTCTTCTACTTTGCTCTTCCTTCAATTTCTTTAAAAGAAGGAATTTTTATAATAAAGATTAGGTCTGCTTGTTTAAGAGTGCAGATTATGTTTGGCCAGTAGCCCTTTTCTAATTGTAAAAGGAGTCCTCAAGCCAGTCTGACTTGGACTCTAAGGTGCTGTCCCCCCCCCGTCCCCCCCCCCCCCCCCCAAAGTAAAAGTCTGTATATTTTAATGTTCTTTTCACTCAATTCCTAATCCTGTAAATGATAGCAATGACAAAGGATGTCACTGTAAAGTTGACTATGGTGAAATAAATTTTAGAAAAAGTAACGTTTTTTGATTTGGTATCAAGAGGAGAACCTTCTTTCGGAGCCTTGCTAAGGTTCAGTTCATGTCTGTGGACAGCGTGATTTGGGGATCCTTCATACATCATATTCCCTAGTGATGGCTCTTAGGGTGGCATGGTGGACCTGTGAAAGTGATAGGTGTGCAGAAGATGATAGGTCAAAAGTTTGAGCTAAAATTTTATATACACTTAAAAACTACTCCCATTGATATCAATGGGGCTTAATCCCAGGGTCTGTTAGCAAAAGGGGAAATAAACAAACTGCAGTTACAGACAGTGCAGGCTAAAGAGTTCTACCCTTCTGAAATTATTTAATTTAGAAGAGTGTAACTCTGTTTAGGATTACACTGTGGGTCTGACTTTAAGATGTTTTTAAAGATTAATATGATTCATGGAAATAAAGTATGAGGAGTTCTGTTGTGCAGCAAAGTTATATGAAAGTAGGCAAAAGTCTCTGTTTTGTGAAAATACACATAAATGTCTATTCAAAACAAGTTTATTCTACTGTGTTGTATCATGCCCCTAAAAAGTATGGACTATGTACATACAATTTATATATTCATATTTCATAAGTCTGTCAGTCTTCTGCTAGTTAATGACTTGGATGTATATTGACTAATTAAATCTCTATTTTACTTTGTGTGCAATTTCATATTCTAAACTCTTTGCACTGCCATATCTGTGCATACAGAATTTTAGAAGCTATAACAAATGTAAATATAATTATGTAGAGATAATATAAGTCTAAAATGTTTGATATTTACATACAGGTGATACTTTTTACATTAATTGTTTTTAAATAAATTTGTTATCCATTTCAAGTGTCAGTGTGCAAAACAGATTGATAAAATGAATATGCTTCATGTTGTTTAGATCTATCCAAGGGTACAGTTCATCAGTGGGAATTTTGCTGTTGCTATCAGTGGGAGGTACCCTGTAGCCCAAGCCTATGAAAAGTCTGCATATTTTCAGTGCTTCTCAAAATTTCTGTAATTCCAAACTGACCACAAAGTGGGAGTGGGTGGGGGAAAACTACCTCAAAGGGGATGGGTTTCTTACAACCAAACAGTTTAAAAGAAGCACATGGGATGCATTTTACGGACCCTGTGTTCCATGGCCAGGATCCAGACAGTCCTGTGTGTGAGTAGAAAGTACTTCTACTTGCACCTAAGGAAGTTGTTCTTCTTTCCAGCTGCAGTGTTTTCAGCTGGGAGGGCCCTCTAGGAGTTGTCCTTTGCAAGGAGCTGCAGTGGGAAAGGGGGGCATAAAGATGCAGGTGCATATGCAGAACACCATGCATAGTGCTGCATGTTACTGTCTCTTCTCAATTGTCCCTCTCCTCTTGTATATAACTTGATTTCTCAGTGACATTTATACATTAAAATCATAAAACATACCACTTATTTCTATGGACAGTTTGTATTATATGTATTGTGTTAAGTGATACCATTTGTACTGCAATTCAAGCATGCTTGGAACTACAGTTTCCAGTTTAATCACTTTTTATGTAACAGAAATAAGTACAAGAATAAAAGAGTAAAATAATCTAATGTGTGTATTTCAAAATCACACATACAACACAGAATTATGGGCTCATCAGCAGTTTCTTTGTGCTCACATCTGCTATTTTTTCATAGCAGGAAGCTTTCCAAATAAAAAGAGCAGGAAAGGGAGGGCTTAGAGCACAGGGTGTCAGCTTTTGGGAACAGAAATTATCAAATTGGAAGCTGAAATTACTTGGTGTTATATTTCGCAAGACTAGGTAAGGCAGAGTGTTATGCTCGGTAGTGCCTCAATTTGATCAGAATGCTTGAACTCAGGCAGTCCTTGAGTGAGTCATACTTTTCCTTTGTGTTTGGAATATACTTTACCACAACTAAGCTACTTATCTGTTATATTTCATGATTAAAATAAATTTGTGTAAATCATATAGCGTAATTGGGTCCTACTTACCCTCCACATCACGCTCGCTGCTATACCAGCCAGCGTGGTGTAGTGGTTAAGAGCAGCGGACTCTATTCTGGAAAACTGGGATTGATTCCCCCCTCCTCCACGTGAAGTCTGCTGGGTGACCTTAGGCCAGTCACAGTTCTCTCAGAACTCTCTCAGCCCCACCCACCTCACAAGGTGAGTGTTGTGGGGAGAGGAAGGGAAGGTGATTGTAAGCCACTTTGAGACTCCTCAAAGTATATAACAGCACTTTGTATTTTACTAGCAGTTCGGGAGCAGTAGAACTCTCCTGTCGTCTTTGGTTTGGCAGTCTGAAGTTTAACGGAGACGGCCAACGTGATTCAAAGATGTCCGAACAGCAGATTCCGGTGCTCTTGGGGAGGGGAAAGTTTAGCGGTGGGCCTAGGCAGCATAGGAAGGGAAGGACGCAGAGATATAGAATGGCTCGGCGCCCTTCCAGCCTACGACCCATCCCAAGGTTAGCTAGCAGTGGGGCCAGGATTCAAAACCCCCCTCCGTCATTGGTATTGTGCAACGCCAGGTCCATTAACAACAAAACCGCAATCCTTCGGGATTTTGTGACTGAACAACAGGCGACCTGGTGTGCGTGACCGAGACCTGGGCGAGGGAGGGAGAGACAGTGGCTCTCGCCCAAATGACCCCGCTGGGTTGATTGGTCCTTTACCAATCGTGGACTAGGGGGCGGGGGGGGAGGAGTGGCGCTTTTCATTCGGGAGGCTTACTCCTTCAAGGCGCTCCATAGTGTAGAGATCGTGGGCTTGGAATGTGATGGTGGAGGCTGAGGAGAGTTTGGCGATTTGGCTGGTGTACCGACCGCCTAATTTATTTTTATTTATTTATACATTCGATTTATATACCGCTCCTAACCCTGAAGGGTCTCTGAGCGGTTTACGTAGAGGTTCCAAATTCAATTTTTATCCTACCTAAGGCCACATAGTACACAGGGGGCGGGGCTTCCTACCAGCACCCAGGCAGCAGGGTTAGCCGATCTTGTGTGCTTCTTCCAGCGGCCTCGAGTGTCGAATTCTTCGGTGCCCTTCGGCAGGCCATCCTGATGCAGCGTTGTGTCGGCTGCAGCTCCGGCTACGTCCAACCGGCTCCGCTGCGCCGACCACATTATCACGCCTCTCATGGCTCCGCCTCTTCCGCCACTCGATGCTGTGCTCGCTGGTCATCCGAGTCGTTCGCCACCGGCCAATAGCCTGCTGTCCCTGCTGGAGGCCGTAGCAGGCTGGGCATTGGACCACCCTAAACTGATTGTCTTGGGTGATTTCAACTTCCATGCTGAGGACGCGGCCTCCAGCTGGACTACGGACCTAGTGTCGTCCATGGCAGCACTGGGGCTCTCGCAATTTGTATCGGCCCCCACGCATCGGGCCGGTCACATGTTTGATCTGATCTTCGCGGCGGGGGTGATGGTGGACCAGATAACTGCTGAGGCAGTGCCATGGTCGAACCACCTGACCTTGAAGGCCCGTTTGAATGTACCACCCCGACCCTATGAGGGCGGCGAGCAGATTTATGCTCACCCACGGAGTCAAATGGACCCGTTGTGGCTCTGGATAGCGATGCGGGATCCAAGGCCCCCTGACGGTTCATTGGACGAGCTAGTGGAGGACTGGCATGTTCGGCTCTCCACTGCCATCGACAAGATCGCTCCCAGGCGTCCTCTCCGCACTTGCTCTAGGTGCACTCCCTGGTATACCCAGGAATTGCGGCAGCTGAAACGAGGGCTGAGATGACTAGAGAGACAGTGGCGGCGTGCTCGTGATGAAGCGTCAAGAACATCCTATAGGACGTTTATGAGAACCTATGAGATGGCAGTGAAGGCCGTGAAGAAAGATTTCTATGCGGCCTCGGTTGCATCTGCTAGCTCACGCCCGGCCCAATTATTTAGTACGATTCGGTCTCTGACAGACCTGCCTCAGGGCAGGTGAAATGATAGGGAATTGGATATTGGCTGTGAGGCTTTTGCGAGCTATTTTGCAGATAAAGTCTTGGCGCTCCGCCGTGACCTCCCTGCCACAATTGAGACAGTGAGTGAACTTGAGGCTCCTTGCATGCCTTCGGTTCCGGGTTTAGATTGCTTTAGCCCACTCAGCCTGGACGAAGTTGACAGACTGCTTGTATCTGTGCGCCCAACCACATGCGACCTTGATCCGTGCCCCTCCTGGCTCATTAAAGCGGGTCATGAGGGGTTTCAAGGTGCCCTGTGGGAAATTATCAACAAGTCCCTTTTGGAGGGATGGTTCCCCGGAGCACTCAAGGAAGCGATGGTCCGCCCCCTCCTGAAAAAGTCAACTTTGGACCCGGCCGAATTGGCCAACTATCAGCCAGTGTCCAATTTGCCCTATTTGGGCAAACTTATAGAGAGGGCGGTGGTGCTACAGCTACAGGGCTTTCTGGAGGATGCTTCAGTCCTAGATCCCTTCCAGTCCGGTTTTCGCCCGGGTCATGGGACGGAGACAGCGTTGGTCGCCCTGACGACCTCCGTAGGCATCTGGGTCTAGGTGGTGTGGCGGCATTGCTGTTGTTAGATCTGTTGGCCGCTTTTGATACGGTCTACCATCAGCTGCTGGCCCACCGCCTCGCCGACTTGGGGATTCAGGTGCTCGCCCTTCAATGGTTTGCCTCGTTCCTGCAAGGTCGGGGACAAAGGGTGGCGATAGGAGAACAGCAGTCCCAGAGGCACCCTCTTGAGTGAGGGGTGCCTAAGGGGGTGGTGCTGTCTCCAATGTTATTTAACATCTATGTGTGCCCCCTTGCCCAGATTGCCCGGAGTTTTGGCTTGGGTGTCATCAATATGCGGATGACACCCAGCTCTATCTGATGCTGGGCGGCTGGTCGAACTCCGACCCAGATGACC